GGGTGAGGGAGTATATGTGAGAGAATATATGTTGTGCCGTATATGATTATTTGCACTCACTTCACAATCCCAATCCCAAGCACATACTACGATACAATGCCGTCGTTGTATCTGCATCATCAATCATCTCATTCATCTTCTTCTTCTTTGTCTCGTGGTTTGTGGCCACTACACCTGCAGTTCTGGGTTCTATTATTATGTTGCGGCGGCGTTAATGGAGGCGGGGTGGCGCGGCCTTCTTATTATTACCAGTTAAATGAGTACTTGGGCGGCGGCGCATCATCAGCAAAGCCGCCTCCGCCTCTGTTGAGAGTTGGGAACATCTCAAACGCCGAAGACGCTTCGTATTTCAAGATTTACTATGGCCACACTTTCAAGGTCATCAAGAACAGTCTTGATGCCATCACTTATCTCCTCATTCAGGTATATAATATTTTCTCACGTACGTCTCCATTATTGTTGTTGGTCGTGGTCATGATTGTAAACAAAGGATTGGATATATATTGTCGATCATCCATTCACATTACTATTTGTATATTGTTGTTACATTGCCACCACTTAGGCTCTCTTCCTTTGAATGTAAACAAAGGATTGGATATTGGCTGAAACTATAAGAAATTTGAAGAATTTAGAAGAAATTCGGAAATGATAGTGTTAAAAAGAATAAAATGATTACTTCACATTAACAAATCTCAACTACTCTCTTCATCACAAAATTTTTGCCGCATTACGAAAAAAACGAAATCAAATTTTAAATTTTTTAAGTTCATCATTTTATTTAATAATTGTACTATTATATTCCTAAAGTCACACGTGAATGTGGAGATACTTTGTAGAAATATTTGCACTAAATAGCACTAAAACTTAAGTTATTTTCCTAAATAGTACTTAAACTGTATTATTCCCTAAATAGCACTAAATAATGTCCATAATGTCTAGTGATGACGAATATTTGCTTAAATAATGACTAATGCATAATGACTAAAAGTGATACATTGGGAAGAAAAACACATGTGGTGCTCCTTAGAGAAAGTCATTATGTTTTAGTGCTATTTAAGTAAAATCCTCATATTTTGTATGGGCTCGCACATAGATCTCTTTTTTTCCGAAGCACAACATATATAACCTCTTGTGTTAAGGTCCATATAAAGACTATGGACTATAATAGAAATTGTCATTATTTAAAAATTTATACACAAATAAAAATTAAATAAACACAAGGAGTACTTAAAACTATGCTAGAAACTTTTCAAAACAAAAAATAACAAAAATATCCCGGCGTGGTGGCTGGCTTCCTCTCTTTTTTTAGCAAATTAAAATTTAACATATATTCACACTTCATCACTTTTTATCACATAATATATAGAATTAACCTAGAGATACACCAACATGGGGTATCCCATTTGTACACCAAGCCAATACAAACACAAATTATCTGTGCTGCACAGACATTTTATGTCTGTATTAGTTTTGTAAACAAAGAGAAAGATATACATGTTGGCTTACTCCTAGGATTGCCCTAATATATAGTCCGTAATACATGGCCTTACACAATAAGGAAGGAGTCACGGGCGTGAGGAGAAAAGAAGTGGCACTTTTTGGTAGGAAGTATTTTCATTGATACACCGGAATGAAAGTGTCACGGGTCTGACAAGACAAGAGAAGTTGCATCTGTCTTTCGCATGGCTCCCCATCTCACAATTTCACATGCATACACTGTACTGCGGGGGAGTTTTTTTTTTTTTTGAACAGAAAATCTGACATTAAATAAGAGTAAAATATACTCCCTACTTCATCCCTCCTAAATTAAATTGACTATTATTTATAAAGTCAAAATTTTTGACTTTAAAATCAATTATAATTACAAGGTACAATTAACGTAAATGAGATGATTAGTTTGGGTCGGGACTTACTGCGAGATTAAAGGGATATGAATTATCAATTTTATAAACGGAGCTCCGTAGAGGGGGCAGTCGCTTCCGTGGCCACTGGCTCCTATGTTTGAATGAAAATCTATGTTTTATTCTTGTGTTGGCAGATTGCTTTTAAGTTTATCCACTTTCCCCTCCACACTCTTGTTTTTAATGCCAAATTACTTTCTCTTAATTTTTCTCAAGTGCTTTTTTCATCTACTATAAATTACCCAAAATAGTGAAATTTGACTAAAACATAAGTCATTTCCTGATTTAGGACTTAAACTTTTTTATTTTCTAAATAGTACTTAATAATGACTAGTGAGAAGAATAATGTCTAAGTGATAGCTGGATATTTAGTTGAATAATGACTAATAGATAATGACCAATGGTCCTATATTGGAAAATAAAAACATATAGTCCTATATTTATTGACAAAATCATTATATTTTAGTCCTATTTAGGTAAATTACCCTTATAAATATCCTCACATCTAATATTAATTTATTCTATTTTTTTTTACAAAAAAACGATCATCACGAATTCACGATATATGCAATTATCATTAGGTCTACACAAATTTGTGTTGATCTAATTTTTATTATTATAAACTAAGATAATTTATATTTTAAGAAAGTAACTTTAATATTTTATACATGTGTGTGTGTGCGCCTATATATATATATATATGCTCAAAGTGTGATATTTCCTCAATATCAAAAAAATGTTCTCTTGTTTTTAATGCCAAATTACTTTCTCTTAATTTTTCTCAAGTGCTTTTTTCATCTACTATAAATTACCCAAAATAGTGAAATTTGACTAAAACATAAGTCATTTCCCAATGTAGGATTTAAACTTTTTTATTTTCTAAATACTCCCTCCGTTCCACAAAACACTTCCGTTTTCATTTTTTGCGCACCCCATAAAATACTTATATCCCACCCAAAATGTCTAAAATATCCTAAAACAACTTATACCCGTAATAAACTACATAGTGGAGTATATTTTAGATATTTTAGGTGAGAGTAAAATCGTTTAATGAGGCACGCAAAAATTTAGGGTGGAAGGGTTTTAAGGAACGGAGGGAGTAGTACTTAATAATGATTAGTGAGAAGAATAATGTCCAAGTGATAGCTGGATATTTAGTTGAATAATGACTAATAGATAATGACCATATTGGAAAATAAAAACATATAGTCCTATATTTATTGACAAAATCATTATATTTTAGTCATATTTAGGTAAATTACCCTTGTAAATATCCTCACATCTAATTTTAATCTGTTTTATTTTTTTACAAAAAACGATCATCACGATATATGCAATTACCATTAGGTCTACAGAAATTTGTGTAGACCTAATTTTTATTATTATAAACTAAGATACTTTATATTTTAAGAAAGTAACTTTAATATTTTATATGTGTGGGTGTGTGTGCCTATATATATATATATATATATATATATATATATATATATATATATATATTGATGGTGTAAATTACTTGACCGGTCAAACTATACTAGACCGGGTCTAGAATAGTTCGCTTGATTTGGCAAAGTAAGAAAGGTAAAAACACGCAAAGTGACCGGTAGGACTTTAGGTGGAACACCTGTAGCCCAATTTATATTATAACGGAGAATGCACGGGTGCTTTTACAAAGGAGTTTAAAGAGTGAAATTCGGATCCCCTCATTCGAGAGTTACAAGAGGTATATATACTAGGCTGGGGAGCAGGACCACGTGCGCCCACGTGGGAGCATGCTGCTGGCGTGGTGTGAAGTGACTGGCTCTGCCTTGTCATCTTGCGCGGCGGGTGGCACCCTTGTCGCGTTCTGGTTTGGAAATATTCCCTCAGCATCCCTGCAATTCCAAACACTACAGTCCAAGTCCTTTTGGACTCCTCTTGCCGACACTTCCCCAATCTCTAGGAACTACACCGGTTGGTTCTTGCAGGCTGGCGTGGCCATCTTTGTAGGGTGAATTAGCCGCCGGTATAGGTTGACCGGTATACTATCCCAAGCGTACCGGTCAACCTTTTGGTCAACCAGTCATCCCTTCGCCGACGATCTAGACCTCTCTTGCAAGTTTGACTTCTTTGACCGGTCAACTATCC